AGCGTGTGGCCTTCTAACGCACACAGCAAAACTGTATCCAATACCTTCTTGTTAGGTTAACACAAATCCCAGGACACTGCAATGAAGCAGTTGAGGCAATGTAAACCGTATACATCTGCTGTGGGGGGGTGCAGAGCCTTTGGTTGTAGGGATCTTCCCCCTCGAGGGTGTAATACCCTTGGCAAATGGTTTTGCACCAGCTTGGGGGTTCATACTGAACCTCCAGTTCCTGCAGTCATGGGTCAAATCTCTGCTTTCAGTATCAGTGGTTAGCCCGGATTCATATTAAAAAAAAACCAACCTCCAAGAATAGGATCCAAATGCGCTTTAGAGGTAAAACCCAAACTAAACTCCAAGACGGGACCGAGCCAGCTGTAGGATTTCTGAGCTTTGGAGGGAAAGGAGATGGAAAGTGTGCTGTCACAGACAAGCCCTAAGAGCCCAGGTTTCACCCACCCAAGGGGCAGCAAGAGCTTTTGCAACAGGGGAGCAGCAGCAGCTCTCCCTCCCTCCGAGCTGCGGTGGGCTGCAGAGGAATGTTCGCGTGGGATGGGCAACGCCAAGGGGCTGGTGCACCTCAAACCTCAAACCAGGACAGCATTTATGTGCCAAGCCTGGGACCTCTGTATTTTGTACAGTGCCACCCACCACTTCTCCTCTGAATTCCTTGGTACTTTTCTCATCTCTTTAGCCCCTTTATTCAGCAAGATGTTGGCTAATGGTTAAAACATGCAGTAGCCCAGTGCAGCTCCTTCAGACCGCTTGGCTCGGCTTTTGTGCGTGTGTGGCATCCCCTGAATGCCTCCCAGGTGCATTTCAAGGGCAGTTTTGTGTTATAGTCCAAGAGATGAGGAGCCAGATGTGAAATGTGCTTCGTGTTTCCTAGGAAAACCAACTGGCAGGGATTTTTCCAAAATAAGATGTTAGATAGGAGTTGTCAAGGACCACACAGATTTTTGAAGAAAATTACTTTTTTTGTTAAAAGAAATAGAAAATCCCTATTTCAATTTATGCTGTCCTCAGAGAGAAAGAGAACTAATCGTCAGTTCTATACTGGTTAGAGTTACCAGCGAATAATTGTCAAAGAACTAAACAAAACCCTATGCAAACACACAGATGTACAAATTCTCCTCTGCAGACAGACAAAATGCTAAAATCTCTCCTCCTGCAGATCTTCATCAATATCATACAGCACAGTACTGCTGTTTGCCTCTGGTTTTACAATAAAAAAACAAAAAACCCAGAAATGCCTGAATATCCTGGTACATTACAATATGTTAATGCACTATATGTGCTTTTCTGGTGCTGTTCTTGGGATAAATGCAGAATTTAGTGGATGAGATTCTATCGCCTGTATTAGATAGAAGGCCAGATTTCATAATCTAATGGTTGCTTCAGACCCTAATCTGCAGATGAATCTTTGTAGAGCCGTGCTTTGCGCCTGATTTCATTCCTACATCAATAGGCTAAGCACTTCGTCCCCATTCATTAACATTAATGAGATTTTCAGGCATTCAGAGTAAGGGGAAAAATGGAGCCTTAGTATTTGCAATTGCAAATGAGATTGTACTACATTAAATTCACTTAAAAGACGATACTCATGCATTTTGAAGTGGTACTTGTCTCCCACTCTTTTTAACATGGAAGAAATATGAAGAAATGCCGTACAAGTTTGGTCAGCTACATTTACTAGGTATACACCAACACCCCAGGGTCAGCTCTGCACGTGCTCTGGCCTGTCCAGTGGCACACAGAACACATATTAAATATCAGTGTAAGACTAAAAGGGTATTGCCCTCTTCTCATAAATTACACTACCATTTGGTATGGCCGATGCGTGAAGGACCCTGTAGGAACTACAGGTTTGAAAGCTCTACTTCCTTTTAATTTTTTTTTGCCCATTGACTTCAGCTTATTGAAAAAAAAGGCCAATTTAGTGACTGTCCTAGAACGACTGTCCTCGAACAACTGTATCGAAACCCATTTTCTTCTGGAGCTGACTGACGCACCCGAGGCACCCTGGAAGAGCTGACCTACCTGCTTCCCCCAGAGCGGCAAAGAGCCCTGCTGGCTCTCCTTGAGGTTTAATGGTAACAGCCCTCTTGCTGAGGGAGCGGGCGACACGAAAGCCGCACTCACCCTGCAGTAGTGAAAAGTCGGGTAAGGCACCGGAGAGCCTTTATGGGAGCTCCTGCAGCACCACCAAACTCCTCCTTGTAAGCTGCAAACCACTGAGGACATGCTCCGTGGTCCCCTGAGCCTACGGCACCGTGCGAGGTAATCATAACAGCATTTTTCAATTTGATACTTGGAATTATATATTAACACTGAGCTATCTGATGCTAATACGGTTCCGCCTCATTTTAAGATACAGACAAGGATTTTAAGCCACGTAAGAATTTCACTCCTGAAGCTGGTGAAGGGAACTGGGAAAAAAATAAGATTACACGAGACTGGAACAACATTTACAGAATCACAGACTCACAGAATGGCAAGGGTTGGAAGGGGCCTCGGGAGATCATCTAGTCCAACCCCCCTGCTAAAGCAGGTTCTCCTAGCACATGTTACACAGGACTTTGTCCAGGCAGGCTTTGAATATCTCCAGAGAAGGAGACTCCACAACCCCCCTGGGCAGCCTGTTCCAGTGCTCTGTCACCCTCAAAGTAAAGAAGTTCTCCCTCACGTTCAACTGAAACCTCTTATGTTTTAGTTTGTGCCCATTGCTCCTTGTCCTGTTGCTGGGCACCACTGTGAGGTCCACTTGGCCAGTGAAAATGTGCTCACAAACGAGGAAAATACACACTACAGATTTAAGCTGCCAGAGGGATAGGATCCAAGGGACAGGTATCTTTAAACCCATAGATGGTGAAGGGCAAGTCAAACAATTAGGGCCATGGACTGTCTTCCCCCAAAGCTGCTATAGATGTGGCTACAGCGGATTTGCTGCTGCCTGGAGGCTGCTTGCTGCATCTACGGTCATTACCAGAGGTCCCTGTGGATCCCGCAGTCCAAGAAGCCACAATAAGGAATGGCCTAAATCCACCCCACTTTTGGAGAGGACGCTTTTAAGCGTGTGTGCAGGTTACCCTGAGAGCAGCGTGGGGTTGCTGATAAAGCCAGTGCTCGGGTCTGTCCTCTGACAGTTCAACTTGGACTTCAGCTGGGCATTAAAGGTTTTGGGAAGGTACCTGATAAAAGCATCTGCTCTTCCCTGAAAGGGCTGACAACACCACAGATGCACTGGATCATGGGGTTTTTTTTCCTGCAGAAGTTGTAACAGGGGACAGAGAAGAAGGGCATGTCAAGATCAAAGTTTTTCTTCCTTTTCTGATGCAGCAACCGAGTTGAACAGGGAGGCAACAAGAGCAGCAGGAGAGTCCCAAGGTCAGAGGCATTTAAAGGAAGAAGAAGAAGAAAAAAAAGTAGTCTGGGGACACTCTGACCCCAGAAGCTTCTCATCTCTACCAGTCCCAAACTAACAACGAGGGAGGAAAGCTAAGGACAGCACATGCTGCTCGTGTGGACGTGTTCTGTACAGGGGGGATGGGGGGGTGTGTGTGGGGGGGTTGAGTGTGGTGCGCCAGAGAATATACTGACCAGAAATATATCTGCTGACTAACAGTCAGCAACCCACGGCGTGCAAAGGTTATTCAAGGTAAGTCACAGTGATGAGGTAGGAGGTATTTTCTTCTGGCTACTTAGGCACAGTGGGATAAAATAATCTTTGAGGGCCTTTCCCAGCTTGATGGCCAAGCAGCAAGTTCAGATTTAAGCACAGGACACTTTTAATTAATGTTGCTTTTCTGAATACAGTAGCGTACGGCAAACCAGAAGAAGAGAGCAATCCAATTCACAGTGACCTGCACTGAAAGCACTTTTTTAATAGAAGGATGGAAATACCTAAGTGTCACTCAGAAAAAAGTTAATTAAATTTTGTCTTGCTATAAAATATCAGTGTGCAAAGAAGTTTCCCCCACGCTTATAAGGCAGGGGTTTCTTTCTTTCTAGTGCATTGCCTGCAGCTGCTGCTCTGCACATTACCGTAACCAAGCTCACAACCAACCTACATTGGGAGGGCTAACATGACATTTGGGCATGGCAGACTAAAGGGCAAAATTATCCAAACCAGTTTAGAGTGGAATAAGGAGGATAAATATCGTGGATGGAGCTTGCAGTCCCATGCCCTGCTAAGTTGCTTTTTCTCCTCAGGTGTGCATTAACCAAGTCTTTGCATCTGCCTTTACTTCTTCGATTACACTTGTGTTTGGAGGGTTGGGTTCTGTCCTACACTAGAACTATGCAAGTTGCCAGGGCGTTCCCCTTATCT